GGCCGATCTGAGATCAGCCTGGTCTACAGAGCAAGATCCAAGACAGCCAGGGCTACACAGAGAAACCCTGTCTTAACAAACCAAAAGAACTTCTTACTCAACTTTTAAAGAAAAGGTCAGCAGCTCAGAAAACATCTCAAGTCAAAGCAGCCAGGCATTCTACTGGCAATACGAATGGAGAAAGCACTAAGTCCAAGTGTCCTCATCATCACATAGAAGGCATCACTAACTTATTTAAACCATCTGATATCCTTAGCACTGCACATAAACAGTCAACTATTACTTCAATTATACTCCAAACACAAATTACATGGTGACCCACATATTGGGAAGAAAACTTGTCTAATCCAGGAAATTGTTTAGGGTATCTTTATTTGTTAAACGTTCATACAAGTGTATACTGCACATTGAGCATTTTCTCTGCAGGGCTCCTACCTGCATCCTCATCCCTCTCCACTCCCCTTAGTCCTTTTATCCCCTTGTCAGTTTCACTTCTAGTTTCATGATGTATACACGACTGATATATCAATACAAAATCCAGCAAATTCCCACTGTGAGGTTAGCTCCACAGACTCATTCCAATTACTTGGTTTGCTTATGTTGACCTAAAAATGTCCTTCCTTTAGCAAATCAATATTTATGAAAATGAAGCTCAGCGTTGATGTTTTAATTAAAATACTCACTTCATATGCATTCCTTCCATGTGACTAGACCAATAAACTTTGTCAGATCAAAAGGGTTGGTTATTTCTGCTCTTTATATTTTGCATTATAAAAGGCCAGTTGAATGGAATACAACTCTCATTTTTCCAATTATTCTAGAATATTAAAAAAATTACAAAAAACATATTTACTGTTTATAAGCATAATCATAAAAACTCCAAAACTTTAAAACTAAGTTTCAAAACTTCCAAATTTATAAGCTATTATGGTTTTTTAAGTATGTGTTAAATTTTATCTATAATCTTTAAAGCTAGTATGTATTTTCTAGTAACTTTTTACTAGCTTCTCCACAGAAAAACATATTGGTGCCAACTATTTTTCAAAATTTAATCTTTTAAAGATTAAAGATTTGCAAACAAATGCAAGGAAACTCTACCTATGTAATAGGTAAAGAAAAGGTAAATTTGTTCAAGGATTTATCTTCAGAAAATAGGACACAAATTAATCAAGTCCAGGTCTCCAGATTCCAACACTGTTTATAGTACTGTTTCCTTCTCAAAACTTTAGTTTTCCCCAATAATTACACAAGCTTGAGCATTAAAATTTAAGACTCTATAAACCAAATTTTCTAAGTTAGGTTAACTAACTTGAGAATTCTTAAATTTTCATCATTTCTTTGTAAGATGCTTAACAACAGTTAACACAGACAGAACTTTGCCAAACATCAAAATTAACTTGGAAAGTCTACTTACAAGGTACTTGGAAACAAACACAACATGAATGCCTGTCTTCAAGAATCAGTCAACCATAAGAATACATTTAGTTAATTCAGATGATGTTATCAATACAGTATTTATCAATTAAAGAAAATGGCAATACAAATATTTTCAACCTTATTCACTTAAAATCTGATTGTTTTGCTTAAAAAAACAAAAACAACAACAACAACAAAAAGCCCTCTTCAGATTCCTCCCTACAGCAAAGTAGGGTGCTCTATTCATAGAGTAACACACTGAGTTTTTAAAATCAAGTATTTGCTATGTACAATAAATTCTCTCTCAAACCTATTAGAGTGTAATTCAAAACTCAAATTTATGAATCTGATGAAGATACTTTCTAGTAGAAAGATAGAGAAAATCCTTAAATTGCTTATTCTTAAAAGTGTCAATGTAAACAATGCTAACAGAAAAACCAGTTTCATTTTTAGCTATGTTTTAGTTTCCAGTACTCAAAATAACTATCCCCTAACATCTAGAGATAGAGTGACGTTTCAGACGTGTGTTTCACCAAGCTGCCTACAAACTCAGTGTTTCTGCACTACACAAGTAAACTGGAGTCAACTGACTCAGTTACAGTAGTTATTTCTTGTACATGTTACACTATAACCCTTCCTAAGTGCTATACAAGCTCTCCACCCACAACAGAAACTCAGGACGTCATGCCATGACAACTGTGGCAGAATCCACGCCCTCTTTGGTACTGCCTGTTACATGCTACCATCATCTGTAATGCCATGGATAACTTAGATGACAAATCTCATTACAGTTTCATTTTTAACTAATCAGAAGATATACCAAACTACGCTGCTGCTTAGATTTCCTCAATATCAAAACTTCTCATCCAACCACCCGTGAAAGCTCAAAGACTGCACATGCATGTGTACTGAGTAACTGAAGGTAGACTTAGACAAGCAGTGACTGCCTCGTATGCATAACCAAGTTCTCAAAGTTACATAAATGACTGTTCTGTATCATTGTTTCTGACTTACAATATCTTACATTCTCAAATTCCATAAATAAAAATTAAATTTTCCCCATATCATAGAGTACTTATACCTCTGTATAATCCGCATGCTCAATACCTTATTAATTGCAAACTTATTAACTTTCACTTTCACATATTAATTCTTCAAAATGGATTCTCAAAATTTTTTTTCAAAGAAATTTATTAACTTTCATGAATTGTTCATGTCACCAAAATATCCTCTCAAACAAAATATGAAACTAAAAACATGGTAATTTAAGTTTTTTAAATTTGATAGCCCTTATCACTTTTAGATATAATTACAAAAGTAAATTAAAATTCCTAATTAGATAAGTTTTTTATGTCCAATGTACTTATATAATGCCTGATCTTCCTGAAATCAATACAAAATAAACTAGGAAATTATTTTATTATCTGCTAAATAATCTGCTAACTCAAGGCCAAGTAAGTTAATATTAACATATTGTTCTGAGAATCCTAAAATACACATAAGAAAACTACTCGAAAGAATGAATTCACCCATTAGGTTAGGTACTGCTCAAAATAAACTGCCCATGTGTTAAAAGCTCTCCAGGAACAGGCAGACAGTCACAAAACTTGGGACAGAGAAAAATGCCTACAGGTAAAGAATTTCCAGAGGTAATCAACAAAGACAAAAACTTGCAGACAATCTTAACAAAGAACCTCTAAATGAAGTAAAAAATTGACAGTATTTATTTAAGCTAAAACTAACCAAAGAATAATGCGATTTTTAAATTATTAAATTGCTTGGAACACATCTTTAAACAGACTAAGAACAACACGTGACAATTCTCACAAACTGCCCTGGCTTTAAATTCCACAAAGTTGTGAATAAAAGGAGCCAATGTTAACACTCAGTCTCTCTTTACCTACTCCAAAGTACCGTACAATCTTCCCTAAAAGAAAAAACTTCATGACATCTTTAATCACTTCAGGATTTTACTTTCCTCTTCATTTTTTATTGTTTTTCCTTCTCTCAGCACTGGGAATCAAACCCAGAAAGGACCTCACTCAGACTGAGCAAGTGCTTGACCACATAGAGAGCTGTAACTCTGCCTCAGTTCAAGGTAACTCAACCATCCAAACATTTAATGTTTGCTATCTCACAGAAAATCATTGCAAAATTAACAGCAAAATGTCTACAGGACCCATCCACAATATCTAAGAAATTATTTATTTTACATTCACTGACCTTTTTTCTATTTCTTAGGGTTATTTCATCTCCAAGTCTAAAAAGTGTATTAGCAGTACTTTCTAAAGTTTCAAAGTAGTTTTTTTTAGAAAGTATTGCTAGGCTGAGAAAGTTGAGTACTTGTATCTCAAACAGAAATGCTTTCCTTATGGAAAACTTTACACCGCCACAGTTCTACAGCCTTTTCTACTGTCACTATGGTTGCCAAGAGCAAATCCAAACCGACACCAATTACCACTCCAGCCTTTTAAGGTGGATTTCTCATCATCAGACCATTTTAGATATTAGCAAATAAATGGATGTCTTTGATACTCCTGTCTCAGTCATATAAACCACCACCATGCAGTTAGGAAAGGAACAATTCCACTACCCCTTCATACCACATCACTTTGCAATGTGAGTATTAAGAATCTAATGTGGATTTGTTTCATTTAAAAATTTATAGGACTGGGGGATAAAGTCAGTTAAGTGCTTGGGTTTGGTCCCAAAACCCATGTTAAAAAATACCAGGCATCCACACATGTAATTAATTCTAGCTCTGGAAAGACAAACAGGTAGATAGATCCCTGGTATATGCTGGACAGTCAAACTCACCTAACTAGGAGAGTTGTAGGTCAGTGAAACTATCTGGAAAGAAAAAAAAAAGAAAGAAAAAGAAAGCGGGTAGTGCCTGAGGACCACCATCTCAAATTGTCCTGATCTCCACAATCGCACATGCATAAAAACCCACATTTACAAGTACACATATAAATTTTATAAATGAATCCAATGTTTAAAAATGATACTAAGTACCAACAGAATTGCACATATAAAAAAAGATGAAGTTTCAGTCCTTTAGCACATACTGTTTCCTTTTTACCTAACACATTTTATCCCTAATTATAACTGCAAGTCATTTTAAACAGCCAGTTTTGTGAACTAGCAAGCTAAGCTTATTATTTGAAACTCTTAAAAGGAAGGGGACATTAAAATTCATTATGTACATGTATGAAAACTGTCAAAGAATTTAAAATTAAAGGAGAAAATCCCCACAAAAGCCTTGTAATGTTACATATATATATATATATATATATATATATACCTCCTCATATGTTCTCTTTCAAACTGGAAAAAGAGTTATACAAGTCTTCAAAGCATCTTAATCCTATTTTAAGGACATCTCATATGTTATCACTTTCCTTAAGTGCACCTCTAAGTTTAATTCCATGACTCAATTTAATCAGCATACTCTAAATACATGTATACCTAAAATATATACATACTTGAGTAAATTCTATTCATGGCCCCTGTATTCATCTCTCAATGTGAAGCTACTAATAGCTTACTTAAACCAAAGTGAAAAACACAGAAATCATACAGCAATGACGAGGTATTCTACAATTTGTCTACTATCTCAAAAACCTTCATCTTTACAAGAAGAAATGTATTATAGTAACTCGGTTGTCAACTTGACACACCTGGGAAGAGGAACTGCCTCAATCAAAGAGGCCTGTGGCCATGTACTGATGAGAATCTAGCTCACTGTGGGTGGTACCCAGCCTAAGCTGTGTCAGAAAAGTAGCTAAGCAAGCCAGGGAATAAATCAATAAGCAGCATCTTCCATGGCCTCTGCTTCAGTTCCTGCCTCCAGGTTTTTGACATGAGTTCCTCCAACTTCCCTCAGGGATGGATTTTGATCTGCGAGTTTTAGGATGAAATAACCCTTCCCCCCCCAAGTTGCTTTTCATGGAGATTTTTATGACAGCAATATAAACCAAAGTAGGAAGACCACCAAAGAATGGTACTATGAGAAGCATTTATTCAACTTCCAAATTGGCATGATTTCTACAGGCTTAGTTTTCCAGTTTGGAAAACTCAACTCCAAAAATGAAGGCTAAGAACTTAAAAATAATGCACTGTTATTTCTAACTCAAAATCATACTTCCAGATAATTTTCAATCCATGCTTTTACATATGGTTACAAATAACCAAGACAAGAGAAATTAAGAGTTTGCCCATGCTACCTGCAAGCTATCACCAGCTATCACAACAAACCACATCTCCTGACTTATAATTCTTTCACTTTGACAAAAATATATCTAGTATTAAATCAGTTTAAGGAAAGAAAAGTATGATTTTTTTTAAAGCAAAATTATATCATTTTAACAAATTAGCAAAACATCAACTCTAGTGAAAAAAAGAACTTGTAAGAAATAATGCAATCAGAGCATCCCAAGTCTGGTGAAAATGCTTTAATAATCTGCTTTAATATCTAATAAAATAGCAGTCAGGACTAAGTAAGGAGACAAGTGGGAAGCAGAACTAGACACTCAACAAATTCAAATACATGAATTAAGAAATGAGTCAGGTGGCTCATGCCTATAACCCCAACACTTGGAAAGCTGAGGCAGAGGACAGAGGCCATCCGACTACTGTATAAGACTGCAGCTAATTCAAAACCACCTTGGGATAAGTGAAATCCCACAGAAAAAAAATTGAAAACACTGTCCAAAAAATAGACCTCTTATTCTATAGAAATGTGGCTGGACTGAAGATGTAGCCAGCTCAGTTTTGAAGGGCCATGCACAGAACTCTTTGGTTCATTTCCTAGTACTGCATAAACCACTCGGTAATTCCAGCCTTCTGGGAGTGGAAGCAGAAATTCAAGGTCAACTTCAGCTACGTGGACAGTTCAAGGCAAGCCTGTCTTTAAAATAAACAAATACTTTTTTGGATTAATACTTGGCTTCATGTAAAAGAATTCTGAAGAACACTTGAAAAATGTCCTTTACCTTAAAAAAAAAATTTACAGGTTAACAAATATAAACTCTGAATAAACTTAAATCAGTCCTCAAAACAATTTTAACATCCTATCATATTCCATTCACTTTTAAAAGAATATTTTAAGTGTTTGCCCAGATAATAACCCATCACATTCTTAGTAGCAAAGACAAAATTTTCAGCTTGTGAGAATCCCCCTTTTCAATCATTTATATACAATCATTTATATATACTATATCAATTTTACTTTTCTTAACTTATAAAACTTTCAAAACAGAACTAAACACTCCATTTTCCTCTGGACCAAAACTGAATCACTGCAATTCTATTCATAGACTATCACTGCTGATCAATACTTATTTTTAAACTCATTAAGTACAAATGAACATCTTCTTCCTAAAGACTTTCTAGAAAATTCCAATTTCACATTAATTTTTCCACTTAAAATACTGTTCAGTTTCTTGGTTAATACACCAACAAACTATTTCCAGGTAGAAGTAGAAACTACTGAAACTACATTTTTACACACCAAATAATTTTAAAGCAATTTTTGTTAATTCAATTTGATGTATAAAAAGTAAAACTTTAAGCCATGAGATTAAATTAAGGCAACAGAATATACAAGAGATTTTGCATTTGTTTACCAAAACACAAAATTTTCAGATCTACTAATGTGCTCAGAAATCTGGCAATCAAAATGTTTTTAAAGCTAACTAAAATTGCAATTAAAGTGAGATAAAGATAAATCACACTCTCACACACCTCAGCATATAACTTGATGGATACGAAAGCACTTCCAAGGGTGCCTTGCATCCAGCAGGCAGTAAGCGCTGAGTAAATAAAAGAGCAATAATTAACCCCAAGTTCCAGGAGGAATTTTCACCTAAGAGTAAAGCCATCGTTGACTATAGAGTTAAATAAAAACTCTTCAAGCAAAAAGAAGCACCTTCATGGGAAACGCATGCCTCTTGGTAAGCAGCACACTAACAAAGGCAATTTAAGAAATTTGAAAACCATGACTAGTTCATCTTACTAATATCTGAACCAATGAGAACGCCCTCTAAAATTAAATTCGGTCTAAATCTAAACCTGCAGTAGTGTTTTCACTAGACAAACAAAATTATATTCCCACAGATTAGCCATTCTCATTATTTGGTCAAACACCATTAAGTGCTTTGATCAAAAAAACACATATTACTTAAAGTCTCCTAGTTAAAAAGACAGCAGCTTTTATTGACTTGAACTTTGTGGGATTTTTAGAAAGGAAAACTGAGTTTGGTAAAAACACACTGTATCTTTGTGACAGTATTTTTAGAGTTGATTTTTCTTAAACAGCAAGGAAGATATGGAAATTAAGATTTTTACCAAAAATTGTAAACCTAAAAACTTAAAACATCGAAAGCAGTAAACCCTGGCGTTTACTTCCAATCCCAATCACTTTGGGATTGGCACAAGTATTGACTGAACTACCCTAAATCGCTACCTGAAAACTAACTTTAGGCAAGAAAATGGAGAAACAGTCTCCATTAGGTTTAAGCCTAAACAGCAGAGTAGTCATCAATAGTTTACGTTAAAACATAAGACATACACACAAAAGCTATGCGAATTCTATTCAAAACCAAAGCAATCAGAATCTTGTCATGCCATTGCCTCACAGAAGACATTCTGAACTACCAAAACTGCCCAATCACTACAGCCCTGTCAACACGAGGAATTACATCTACCTCAAGCAGTCACAAACGTGCCCGAAAACAGTTTTTTCAAAGTACTGTCTAAATTTCAACTGTTAAATTGACCCTGCCGTAACTGACGATTCAATACAATTATACAAACAACTTCTATCAGGGTAGGCAAACTACAGCTCTTTTAATAAAGTCAACTAGCAGTGAGACTTTACCTTTCCATTCACAATACTCAAGTGATAGCTCCATTTTGGGGAAGCAATTTTTTTAAATTATTGCCTTGAAAGACCCACAAACTACAAAAAAACAAACAAACCCACATTATTTTTCAAGCCATTAAGCAAAACATCTCAATGTAAACAAAAAATTAAGAGCCAAGGTCCAGACCACGGTAACTATGCAGCTAAAAACCAAAGCTCTACGGTAATAATTTTTAATAAAAGGGGATATACCCTAAGAATCAGCAATATTAGAAAACGCCTGTTAAAACTTCTCGGTTTCTACTTCAGCAGATATGTCTCTATAAATGCACAATGTGCCTCTGGGTAGCTACCATCAAAGATCTATCTGAACGCCTCCAACCAAAAAAAAAAAAAAAAAAAAAGGTTTAAAAAAAAATCTAGGTCTGAATCTACAGAAAAAAAAAAAGGAAAAGGAGAGAGAGGGGGAAAAGAGGGAAAAAGAAAAATCTTGCCAAGGTTCGTCCGTTGGCTGAAAGGCCTTCTTGTGAAATGCTAATGCCACTTCGGAGCAGTTAGTCACCAGCTATTGTGTGGGTCTGGAGAAAGCTGAGCCGGC